TGGTGGCAGCAGCTGGGCCGGTAGTACAGTAGCTGCTTTTTTTGCATCACTGTCCTGCAACTTAATGCCTGGGACTGATGCCCTGGTTGCCCCCCCTTAACTACATTACTCATGGCACGCAGTCCCTTTCAAAGCCCATCCATGTGGCTTCTAGGAACAAGGGCTGTGGAGCCAGCTGAGGTGCTCCTGCTGTCTGCAAACAATTCTGGCCTGTATTAACTACTGAAATGAGAGTAAAAGTGTGTGGGGGACTCTGATGCTCATTTTGTTATTTAGGCATATTCTCTCCCCATCATAGATTGGCATCTTTTTTTTTTAAGTAAAACTATTGCATGCACCACCATAAAATCCTAGTATGACAATTCTGTTCTTATTCAGCAACAATTAATTCACAGGCAAGCAGAACCTCTGGAAATCAAATTAATGTTCTGATGTGATCAGGGGGTCAGGAAGAAAGGTCTTCCCCTATGTACAGCACTGCTCAGCCACCTGGGCTCATTAGTATGTCTGTATGGTCAAATACAATGCTGTGCAGAGATACTTCAGCTAGCTCAGGTATCGGATCAACAGGGGAGATGACATATTATTTCTCTTAAGCATTACATAAAGACTGCTATCATAGGTGTGTAGACAGGACTTAACAAACCTGTGCCCAGATCCTGGAAAGCAAGCTATGTATTTCCCTAAATTCCCCAATCCAGTCCAGACCTTGTAGCATACCCAATGAACAATTCCTCCTCTTGGATCTGTCACGCAGATATCTTTGTTGCAGACTCTGCTTTCATTCTATGGTATAATCTCCAAGTTGTCCCATAAGGAATAACTTCCCGTGGAGTAAATGCAGAGGTGAACTGTGGAATAAAAGAACTGTACTACAGAACCAAACAGAGAATTCTGGCTAACAATATGGCTTGTTCTAATAGCCTTGCAATAGAAAAGCATGTAAGTGTGTGAACCTTAATTTTTATAATGTCTTTTTTATCTCATACACAATGTGGGCGGGGAAGGGCAGGGGCGGGGGCGGAATCTCTTCTTCCATTGTTATGGTCTTGATCAGAGCTGCTCAGTGTTTTGGCCCTATGGGCCAGGTGAACGGATCAGACTCTACATGCCGAGACCAGGGCTGCAAGGTGTTATGTCACATCTGCTTGGACCCATGTTCCAGGATCAGGGCCATGCACTGCCACCCAGCCCTGCACACTGCCTTGTGCACCCAGTCTAGCATGCAGGGCCACGGTTTATGGAGTTCCCCGCATACCCATAGGGAGTCCCGTGGGCTGGATGACCTGGTACAGGGAGGCCAGATCCATTACACAGGCCAGGGTTTGAGCGCTCTTAGTCTTGATCATTTTGTCTTAATCAAGCAAAACTCCAGTTTAGATCAATGAGAGTTTTACCTGAGAAAGACCAGTAGGATAGGGTCGTAGAATTCTGCTTTGTACATCCAAACGATACCGTAGTCTTTTATCATAGTATTGACATATAATGTTCAGATAACTTTTCAGGCAGTCACAGTTGGCAAATTCTAACCAGATCAAGCAAGAATAGTAACCATCAATGAAGTGGTCATCAGCTGAAGTCTCGAAGATTGAATCTGGATTTGAACCTTAGCATAGTTGAAGGGTACTTAGATCTGCGTGCAGAGTTGGCCCAACAGATACAGAGGTCAATATGAAGCGTAAATCTGACTACAGACCTGGACAGATGCATCCTGACGGTGTTTTAAGTGCAACTTTTTAAATTGTGCAGTGGTCCTTACACAGCATATAAATGTTAGTCTAATGACAAAATATTTGGATTAATGAAAATAATGAATAGCTCAAGATGCAGTTATGCTTAACTGTCCTTCTGAAGAACCAGCAGAGATTACCTTCTTTCTTGGTATGGCTAAAGTGTTATCTGCATTTTGCTTCGTAAGAAGGAAAAATGTGTGCTCTATTAAAAAATAAAAAATTACAGCTCCTGGTTTTCAGGTTTTCAAACTTATTCTGAGCAGCCAGATGGAGCGTTGCATTTGGGGGCTCTTGGTTCTCTGATAACTGCACTTCAGTACTGAAAATACAATAACAAATATAAATATATGTTACACACATTCAGGAGTCTAATTCTGGTCCCAATTAAGTCAGTTGTAAAATTCTCATTGAAATCAACAGAAGCGGGAGCAGACCTGAGGAGTAGCTCTCAGGCCTCTGCCCAAATTGTCAATGTGTCTTTTAGTGTCATCAGCATGTCTTAACATTTGCTTTTCTGGGCTTGATGTAAAGCATATGAAATCAATTAAAAGATTCCACAGATTCCCCCATATAGACTCTGGTCAGACCCACTACATTTACAATATTATATGGTCTATGTTTGATATATATTGTATGTGATATATAGTATGTGTGTGTACTTACATATACATATAGTAAATGTAGTGTGTATATGTACAGAGAGAGAGAAATATAATTTGGAAAACATTTTTTACATTGTATGTTAGGTTTAAAAAATGTGAAAGCAGTTCCCTATATAGTAAAGCAAGTGGTGCTGAATATAACAATTAAGTGGACAAATGGCAGAAAGGGGAATTATTCCATGAAAGTGGCCTTAAATTAAAGCCCATTAGCCATTCAGATCATTGGGAATATTCAAAGGCAAAAGGATTCTATCTGAGGGCAGGGATCCAGCACTGTTCCTCCTCCCATCCCCCAACAATGGTTTTGAATATTCTTGCCATTTGATGTAACCTGGTGTACTTTCTAAAAGTGAACACAGTCCCTAAAAGGTATGTTTTCCTGTACTGCCTAACTAAATACAGACAAAATAAATAGGCTTATAAATAATATTTAATACTCTGCACTTCTTTAGCACCTTTTGTCTGAAGATCTCAGCGGCCTTTAAAAAGTGTGGTATCATTAGCCTCCATTTACCCCAGAGGGTAAATGAGGCATAGCAAGGCTATGAACCCAATTCTGCTTCTCTTGGGAGTTTTGCTACTCATTTCAGTGGGAGAAGGATCAGCTCAAAATGACCTGCTCAGTGTCAAGTCACTGGCAGAGCTGGGAACAAAATCCAAGCCTTCTGACTCTTAGTCCCCTGCTGTTCACACTAGCCCAAACTCATTTATTAGTCACCAAACTAAATAAATTAAATCAAAGTTGGGAAAACTTACTTTTTTTGCTTCCAGCACTGGTTGTATCCTGTTTCCAGGGTCTGAATGCTTTTGAGCTACTGTTAGTGTTGCTATGAACATTACATCCTCCTTCAAAAACTTTTTAAGATTGCCTGCCACCTCAAGCAAAACGTTGAAAAGTATTCCATATAGAATCTCTCACATACTATTTCCCATCTTTCTTCCCCTGGCTTTGTGTATAGAGTCATTTGCATGAACACAGGATCTTTGTTGCTCCCACTGCCTCACCTCATCTGAGCTGAGCATGTTCTGTTTGTGACCTTTCTATCAGCACCTTTTCCACAGCAGCCCAGCATGATGTCACAGGTGGTGAAGTGTAGGTAAGAAGCAGCTAGTTATACCATTAACTTAGAAGAAACCTAGCAAAGATTTCTGTTTTCATGCAGATGTGTTCTGATAACAATAATCCAGGAGAAAAATACATACGGCAAAGCTCAGCAGAATGTTCTCTAGATTGAATGTTTTCCATGAGTTTGGGGCAGGCTTTTAATAGTCCTCCTTCATTAATAACAGAAGGATTAATTCAATGCTATCCAGTAACTGGTTAGAGCTGTAAGAATGCCATGATCCCCTCCTGAGTAAATTAATAACAAGTCTTAATTTGTTCCAAAATGTACATCTGTTGTCTTATGTGCCATAAAGAACATAGTAGTCATTAGCACCAATGTCCTGTGTAGCAGGCCATGATTAGAGCTCGGTAATGTATTCACTGCAAATAATTTACTTGTTAATTTTTTTGTTAGAAATGATCTGTGAGCAGGCAGTGTTTCAAAAGCTGGGTCCTGATCTGAAATTGTCCACAAATGATCTGCACAAAGGTAACTCAAATGTGTGAATTACTTCAGAACATTTCACCAATTTACTTCTAGTAGTTGTTCATAATCTGCTCTTAAAACTGTGTGATTGGGCACCTGTCACATGGTGGTATTTCTGATCCCTGATTGGATAGGTGCACAACACAGACAGACCTCTCCAGAAATCCAGACAATCACTTCCAGTGCAAATACTCCTGGGAATGCAATTGTATATATGACATTCCCTTTTCTGTAACAACGGTTTTCTCTGAATGTCTGTGCAAGGTGAATGAAAGGGGTTGTCAAGACGATAAAAGCAAAGGTTAGTGTTATAGTTAGTGGTTGTGAATTGTAGTTTGCAGTATCTGCCCAGCTCTGATCATGGCACCTACTTGCATGGTGTTAAAAAAAATCTTATTATAGGCACCTTCTTTCTGCATTTTATATCAGAAGTGGATGAAGTGCAACCCAGGAACCAGATGCACCCCATGGAGTTCTATAAAGGAGCCATTCTCATCATTAGTGTGGAGGAGACAACAGATTCAAGCGAGCAGGACTTGTTTCAAGCTGAAAAGCCACTCAAATCAAAATGAGGTGCCTTACGCTTAGGCCTATAATCTTGACTCTGTGCATTTCCATACTAAAGATGAGAATGACTGCAATCAGCTCTATTTTTAGGCAAATTAGAGGAAACCTACAGGTTTCTGGCAAGTTGCCACTGCAGCCCTCATTGAGTAAATGTGTGCGCTCTTGCTTTAATTTGTGTACATGGCTTTGTGTCAGGTGGAGATGGGATAGTTTCTCTTCTGGTAGAGAGAACTGAGGTCCGTCTCCTAGAACAACCCCCAAAATAAAATTGTATTTATACAGGTATGTGAAATAGCTGCCATGGTTTTTGTGCGGTACCCTGGTCCCCACAAACAGTAACTCAGGATTTTTTTAAAAATGAAATCGTGTTCCCACATGAAAGAGCTTTCTACTGCGTTATGGTGGGTGCCAGGTGATGCATTTCCCATCATCCACAGAAAGACCTCTCATTTTTTATCCAGGCTGGCATGCAACTCTGCCTCAAAGGCCATCTTGTCAAAGGTACGTGTGTTCGTCTCCTCCCGTACCTTTTCCCGGACGTGGAAGGATGCCCGGGCAATAGACCTGGCATTTTCCAGGACAGTTTTTTTATCCCTGAAGAACTGTTCACTCCTTTCCAGCTTCTTCTCAATGGAAAGGAGGATCTCCCTGCGCCGCAAGTCCTCGCACTGCTCCACTTTCTGCTTGTTCATCTTCTGCACCTTTTCCTTCTCCAGTCGGCTCCGGACTACCTTGCGGGCTTTCTGCTGGACTACCTCCTCAGCCACCTGGGCAGCATGCTGGAGCTTCCTCTCTGTGGCTCTGGCCAGGGCCTCTAAGTGCTCTTTCTGCTCCTTTTCTTTCCTCTCTGCTGATAATTTGGCTCTCTGGAACTGCATCTCCCCTCGCTTGGCCTTCTCCTTCATGTCCTGGTTCCTCTTCTCTACCAGCTGCTCATAGTTCTCCTGGGCTTTGTTCAGGTTCATCTCCAGGGAGGCCTTTAGCATCTCCTTTTCCTCTGCCTCATGCCAGGACAACTCCTTGAGCAAGGCGTCATGCTTCAGCTTCTCTGCTTGGTGGAGCAGCTTCTTCTCCTTCTGCAGCTGCAGCTCCTTCCTCAGCTTCTTTTGTGCAGCACTGGACAGCTTCTCCTGCAGGAGCTGTTCCTCACGCTCCAGGTGCTCTTTCTTGTCCTCCTCCTTAGACTTGAGGTTGTGCTCCTGATGGAGCTTCTTCTGCTTGTCTTCTCGGCTGGCCCTCTCCAGCTTCTCCTTCTTCATCTTCTCCTGCTTCTCCGCCTGCTCTTTCCACCTCTCTTCGTATATCAGGCACTGCTTCTGCTTCAGTAGGGTTGCCTCCTGCTGCTCTTGATTCAGCTTCCCCCGGCGCTTCTCCACCCGGGACTCCCACATCTTGTGGCACTGCAGCAGTGCCCTCTGCTTCTCCTTCTCTTCCTCCTCCTTGCGCTGCTCCGCCCACTGCCGCTGGCTGTCCCACTGGAGATGTGCCGTGTACCTCTGCTCGTTCAGGAGACTGGCTTCCTGGTGCCTGGCAATCATCAGGGCCGCAATCTTCCTGTCCCTCTCTGACACCTCCTTGAGACCCTTCTTCCTCTTCACCTCCTTGATGATCTTCTCCACCTTCTTGGTGGTCTGCGGGGAGTGGCTCAGATCCCCCAGGCTGAAGCTCCGGCCCACGAGGGAGTTCATGGCAGCCACCGTCCTAGTCCTGGGGATGCTTTTGGCCCATTTGTCCCGAGGGCTCTCCCCGCTGTAGGAGGAGGATGCCCCTGAATCGGAGGAAGTTTTGGCTGAGAAACCGTCTCTCCTCTTTTGCAGGGAATCCAGGGAGTGGCTCTTGGTCTTGGTCCCTGTAGGGGTGGTCCCGGCGCTGGCCCCCGCCTCTACCCCTGCCCCTGCCTGCGCGGCTGGTGAGCAGGTGCCATCCGGGGCGGCTTTGAAGGCCAGGCGGGAGGCAGGGGAGGAGGGCAGGCTGCC